TAGCTAAACGTGACTGGCACTGGGCACCACAATACGGGGGCTGGCACTTACTGCCAGGCCTGCATCATGCCCAAGCCACACATGTCTCCTGGGAGTGACGTGGTGGCTTGGGCGCCTGCAGGCTGTGCACTGCCTGAAACTAGATTAGGCTGCCACAACTGCTGTTTGCTATAGAAAAGCCATTCACACAATTCCTTATTGCATGAGTGGTGTCTCTAGCTGAGACCCCCGAAAGACATACCCTCCCACATTTCTTTGATGAAAATAGGGACGTCCTATTCCATAATAATAATTTTATTCCTTATACCCTGCCCATCTGATTGGGTTGCCCCAGCCACTCTGGGCAGCTTCCAACATATACTATATGAAAACATAATAAAACATTAAACATTTTTTTAAAAAAACATCCCAACACAGGGTTGCCTTCCAATGTCTTCTAATCACCTTGGCTCGGGAGTCACATAACTCTGTACCCTCCAACATTTATCTGATGAAAATATGGGCGTGATTGGGAACAGCGGGACATTCTGGAACCAAACCAGAACCCAGGATGACTTTTGTAAATCAAGACTTTCCCTGGAAAATATGGACGCTTGGAGGGTCTGCCAGAAGAGAAGCTCTCATAAATGCCCCACTCTAGCTATGCCCTTGGGACTCTTCTCCCCTGTGCTGTCCCCAAGAATTGTTGTAACTGTTAAGGCTCAAGGTCGAACGACGTTATCAAAACATTCATGTACTGATTCAGCTCTGTGATTTAAAAATTGGCAAGGTGTACCTTGCCTCCACAATTGTCCTTGTATTAGCTCTCCGTTCAGCTGCCTTATTAACAAGCTACGTTTGTCCTGCATATCCTGAAGTGGAAAGAGTCTAGCATCAGCCCAAGAGGTATTTCTGACTCTGGCACCTCTCAAGAGAATCATCAAGTTTCTCAAGCAGTTGCTGAGCTGAGCTGCCCAAGCGCAGGCTTCCAAACTGAAGCAGATACTGGCAGTTGGAACGGCTGGGTTCATGCAAATTCTCAAAGCCTCCTCTGTGGCTTCACTGCTTTCCTTTGCACTGGGAATAGGGGGGAAATATTTGGTCCTGTTTGTATTTACAGCTGAATTTATCAAATCCACACTTCACAACACAACATGGCAACCAAAACACGGGCAGTCCTCCAAATTCACACTCCTCCTAGTCCTGCGACACACTTTTCCAACCATTGTTTACAAAAATGCATGTATTAGGGGGTAAAGGAAAATGTTTAGAGGGGAAAAGAACATACAAAATCGAATTGTATTGGGAAACATTGTTTGGGCGGGGGAAGTGTGCATTGGTCAGAGCTACAAAGGTATGTTTATAAGGAGAAATTTGCACTGAAATACTGAATAATTCTCATGAGGATTAAAAAAAAAAGCAAATTGCTGCAGGAACATGGAGAACTGAACTTAAGATGGGAAAAATGAGAACTTAGGAGAACCAGAACAGACAGGTCTTTCCATCCTTGCCCCACGGTCACCTCTGTTGATCCAAGTACTGTATTTGGATGTGGGCAAGGGTGGAATCACATTTAATGCCTGCAAACTAAGGATTAGCAGTCTGTGGCCCTCCAGTTATTGCTGGGGTCCAGCACCCATCAGCCCCAGCCGTCATGGTCAATGGGCATGAAACCCAACAAAATCTGGAGGGCCGCAGGTTCCCCCTCCCTTCTGCAAATGTCACTCATCTCTCTGGTTAGGTACAATTGTGACTTCATGCTAATCACACATACAAACAGGGAGGACCAAGAGGTTTGGTAAAGCATTGGGCACTCCCTGCGTCCAGTGTTGTACGTATTGCCCCCAACAGCACCTGGGCCCATGGAGGTGCATGCCATTTCTAGTAAACCCCATTCACTTCACAGAGCTACAATTCCCAGAGTTCACCTGGGAAGAGGTATGGATTGTTCAACCACTCTGAGGACAGTAGCTTTGTGAGGGGGATAGGGGTTTCCTAACAACTCCTAGCACCCTTCACAAACTACAGCTCCCAGAATTATTTGAGGGGGAAGCCATGAAGTGGCATCACGCACACACACACACACACACACACACACACACACAGAGTGCTTTTTTCTAAAAAGAATGTTAAAGGTAAAGGTAAAGGTACCCCTGCCCGTACGGGCCAGTCTTGACAGACTCTGGGGTTGTGCGCCCATCTCACTCAAGAGGCCGGGGGCCAGTGCTGTCCGGAGACACTTCCGGGTCACGGGCCAGCGTGACATCGCTGCTCTGGCGAGCCAGAGCCGCACACGGAAACGCCGTTTACCTTCCCGCTAGTAAGCGGTCCCTATTTATCTACTTGCACCCAGGGGTGCTTTCGAACTGCTAGGTTGGCAGGCGCTGGGACCGAGCAACGGGAGTGCACCCCGCCGCGGGGATTCGAACCGCCGACCTTGCGATCAGCAAGCCCTAGGCGCTGAGGCTTTTACCCACAGCGCCACCCGTTAGGGTACTCTCATTTTGACTCAAGAAAATCACCATTTATAGTTCAAATTGGGGAAAATAAATACAATAAATGGTCAAAAATACAAAGATTCACAAAATGTTTAGGGGTATGTGCACCCCACCGTCCCCCCAGAAAAAAGCACTCTGTGTGTGTATGCACACACATACACTGCTTTTTTTCTATAAAAATAAGGGCCGTGTAACACCATGAAGTTGTTACATTAAGTGCCACAGTTTTTAACAACAAAAAGAGGTGCCAGTACTGCATATCCTTGAGTACCCCCTTTAACAAAGCACTTTTAAATCATCGGTGGCACTTTCTTCTTTACCTAATAGTTAATATGTCCCTTCTGGAAAAGCCAGGCAGATGTACTCTACTCCTGACTTCTCTCCAAGCTACTAGAAACCCAGCTCCATGGAATCAGCACAAGTGAGTAGTGTTTGTTGGCACAGGGAATTATATGCTCAACTTCTGCTCTTTCAGCCCATGCTTTTGCTACAGACAATGCAGAGAAAACTGTGTTGCTAAGCCAAACCTCAGCTGGTGCTGGACACAGCTGATGGATGGCTGGCCAGCCAAGAGCCACTCAAAGAAGTTATCCAGCTGTCGTCTAGCAGTTTCACTGGGGATTATTATGGTGGGATGGGGGTGTAAAAGAATGCAGAGGCGCATGGTTTATTGGCTGAAATCCAGGCGTTGATCCCATCCTGTTCCTCAGGGCTGTGGACATTTAATTATGAATAAAATTAAGGCCCCTGTTTGTTTAATCTCAGCCCAGTGTGGTGCCCAGACACAGCTTCTGAAACAGGAAGACAGGCTCAGGAAGAGAGGTGCTCCATACGGAGAGCTTATCTCCACCCCACCCTGTCGTGGCTTGAAATGGACACACACAGGTGAATTTTTCCAACACCAGTCACAGGGGTGGACAGAAGGTAGATGATGATCCATGAACTGATCACCAGCCCAATTTCTGGGGGTGGGGAGGAAGAAGCTCTACAGCAGGCATCCCCAAACTCGGCCCTCCAGCTGTTTTGGGACTACAACTCCCATCATCCCTAGCTAACAGGACCAGTGGTCTGGGATGATGGGAATTGTAGTCCCAAAACAGCTGGAGGGCCAAGTTTGGGGGTGCCTGCTCTATAGGATTTCCATGGGGGAAGGGCAGTGTTCCAGTGATTTGTAGACTGCTTTGTTGCCATTCCCCGTGCCATAATCAAATTTCGCAAAAGAACAAATCTTTGCCACTTGAAGTTACCACAGAGCATCTCCTAAGCATCACAGGTTAGGTAGAAAATAAGCATGATGCTAACTAGTCAATAGAAATGTATAGAAGTCTGCACATCCAAAGGACAACATAATTTAATTCAGAAATTACAACTGGGGGTTTGCAAAAAAATAAGTAAATTATAGTCTGGAGTGCTTCTGTGCAGGATACTCCATTTCATTCCAATCCCAAGCTGATCAGCATTTAGAATACTTCATTCCGCCAACAGCTGTTCAGCATTCTGTGGTCACTGAGCGTGCCCACCACCCAGTCTTCACTCTGGTACCTCCTGCTGATGTGTGTGAGCGGTGCCATTTTGTGTACATAAGGACCAGAGAGCTGAGATCACTACAAGTATATATGCCTCTGAATAATTGTGTTCCAAATGTGCTCCAGTACAGTAGGATATGTTGCTGGTCCATTGCACTTTTGTGCATATTCCCATCTGGCTTGTGGATTGTGCAGTGGTGGAGGAGGGTCAGAAGAAAAACAGCACATGTGAAAACTGGGGAGGAAGAAAGGGAGAGATGAAGGCGAAACTGAAAGCCACGGTGTGACATAGACACACACACTCAATGCACAGAATCTGGACTGGGATTGAAATTTTTCGCTCAGCCCTGAAGCACGCAAGCTGCCTTTCAGCAAACCACAGGTTCTCATCTTATCCTGCTCCATAGCGTTGTTCTGACGATAAAACAAGATTATCTCAGTGCATGCCATCCCGGGCTCTTTGACAACGATGCCACCATGGCCTTCATGGGCCGAAATCCAGGGCTGCACTCAACAGAAGAACCAGTAGCCTCCCCACAACCGGAAAAAACCAACCCCATAGCAGTGCTGGCTTACTGAATCTTGAAGTGGAATTATAACATTGGAAGGAGCCTCAAAGATAATCTAGTGGTCCACCCCCTGCTGGTGCAGGCAAAGCACATTGCCATTTGAAGTGTGTGTATGTGTGTATGTAAGTAACGCCATTACAACGTCTAAAATTGCCTAGCTGCGCCACTGCTCCTTGGAGGAAAGATAAGACGCAAAAAAAGAAGTGCTAATGATGATAAAAGGAAAGGGGGGGAGAGAACCAAGTAAGGCTATGCAGCTGGATCAGCCAGTCAGTTTAGAGATGTATCTGCAGGTCTGAAGCCTATTCCTCTGGGAAAGTGTCGGGAAGTAAATGCGGCACTTAAAAGGAATCTATGGCATTTGTACTCGTCGGCTTGCCTATAAAAAGGCACACTTTGTCCCCCCTTGAGTATTGGGGCAGTTTGATCAGCAAAGCTGCTGCTTTTTCCCCCCTATAGAGAGCCTCCAGGGCAACCCTTTATTTTCTTAAAATAACTGCAGGCGTTCTGAACCCTTCCCAGCCCAGGTGCACAAAAGCCGCCTTGTGCGGCCGGAGGACCTTGGTGCTGGTGACTCCAGGTCTTTGCACTATGTGCTGATGACAAAGGACAATTGTTGAGTGGGGAGGGTGGGGGCTGCTTTTTTGGGAGCACCTTCCTTTTATAGTAAACAGCAGTTGCCCTTGCAGCTCTGCCCACCCCTCTGGTGCAAGACCCGCCAGCTCAGTATATAAGCAGTGGGAGCCAGGGTCGCCTTTTGTTCCTCGGCCCTCTGCCTCCCCACCGTGCTGCTCATCCCAGCTCGTGCCACAAGTGAACCGAAGCCATGGCCCCCAAAAAGCCGGAACCCAAGAAAGAGGCCGCCAAGCCAGCTCCGGCTCCTGCTCCTGCCCCAGAACCACCAAAAGAACCTGCTTTCGACCCCAAGAGTGTGAAGGTAAGTAACAGGGAGGTGCCCGGTAACTCCCAGTCTTACAGGCTTGGGATTCAAGGCCTGTGATCAGATCCCTTGTCGTCGCACAAACTCAGCCAATGGCCCCCAAGGCGTAATTATTAAATCTCAGCCTTGTTTCCCAGACCTGCTGATTCCAATTGGTAGAAGCCATTTCAAGGTAGCTGTGGTTCCTGCATTGCAGCAGGTTTGTACTAGATGATCCTTTGGGTACCTTCAAACTCAACAGTGCTACAATTCTAAGATTAATCTAACGGTAGACTGCTTTGAAAGCTGGTCCGCTCGACTCCAATTTGCTTGCTTGCTTTTCTTTTTCCTACCTCCATTCAAAATTAGTTGCATCTCATTTGCCACAAAATGTTTGTTTCTTAACTTAATAATAATAATAATATAATATTTATATGTCGCCCATCTTACTGGGTTACCCCAGCCACTCTGGGCAGTTTCCAACAGTAAGACTTCAAACATCTTACTTCTGCATTAAATAATATAAGCTTTGCAAGAGCTCAGCTTACCCACTTACTTTGCAAGACAGCTCTCTTCAAGGGCATTTAAATCTACTTCGCAGGAGCTGAATGGCTAGATTGAAAGAAACCTTATTGCAAAATCTTAACTCCTCTGTAACTTAGTTTTAAAGGTCACTAAATATGAGGTGCTTGACAAAAGCCCCAAATTCTTCCGAAACCTTTGCTTTGTTGCTTGCAAGTGCTCAACTCTGTGTTGGAAGTTACAAGTGGAGTAGAATAGTAAAGGTTTGAATCTACTGTTTAGTCTCCAAATAACTCTATGAAGCCTCTTAATGTTTTTCTCATAGTTGTAGAATAAGATTTGAATGAATGGAAATGTTAATATTGCCATTCATCAGTAAAACAGGTTTCTTGGGCTGGAGAGAGCTGATGGTTTGTTTTTTAGAGTTGAAAATCCTTTGAGGGTGCTTTCACTTCCTATGAGGTAACGCTTATTTCTTTTGTCCCATCACCACCACTTGTCAAATGAGTTCTGCAGGTTTTTGAAACGGTACAAAATCCTAATTAGCCGATTTACCAGAGGTGAAAGTGGAATGAGTATTCACACCGCAAATTAGCAATCGCTCTTTCAAACTGTGTTCAGCATACACACACACACACACACACACCCTTGGTTTTATTTGCAGCAGCTGGAAATCTCCCCATTTTCAAAAGCTGATAGGATATCTGCAGATTCCCTCTGCAGAATGGCACTGTTCATTCTGAGCACATTAGTACGTTCCTGCAATTACGTATAGCATTTCTGTGTAAGAGCAAATTGGCTTTCTGATGTTGGTGTGAAGTGTGGCTCAAGTGTTTTTCAGGCCCTGAATGCACAAAGCTGGGCACCTATCGTGATAACTTTTGCATTTTCCTATACAGAGAGAGTGCAACAAGACACCTCACCACAACCAAAACCTTTCAGCCAGTTCCTATATCTGCATCTGCTCCAAAGGCCTTGCCTCATCCCATACAAACTGCTCCTCCTTCTGCTTCACATAACATTGGTTTAAATAGCATGCTGGGTGTTGTACAAGCCTTAGGAATCCCTTGCCTAGAGTCGTAGAAAGACAGGAAGCTGCTAACTTCTACTCAGACCATTGGACCTGTATTATCTAGGCTGAGTAGAGAGACTGACTTTCCAGAGTTTCAGACAGGGTGCTTCTCCCTGCCATACCCAGAGATGCTGGGGATTGAACTTGGAACCTTCTGTATGCAAAACAGATGCTCTACCACTGAGCTATGGGCTCTCCAGTAGTCAAGGGGAGAAGACAGCAATGAGTCATGAGGGCACAGTAGAGGAGAGTGAACTGGTAGCAAAGGACCAGGTGAGATGAGACTACAATAGATCGCAGGAGTTTTGCTGAATTGACTTGAGGGATGAGGCTTTAAGAGGTGAGAGGGAGAGACCATTATGGGAATAGGCAACAGCACAGAGAGGAAAAGAGGAGGAGGAAGAGGAGGAAAGAGACAAAGAAGCCAGTGACAATATTATGTGGGGCAGGGAGATAGGAGAGGGAGAGCTTTGTAGTTCATGCAGAATGTCCATTTGTGTCTTCATTCTAAAACGCTCATATAAAATCTCGAGGGCACAAGGGTTCACTGGCAGTTGTTGAGCCTGATTTTATTGCTGAGACATGGCCCTAAGTATGTGTTGTACATACAATTTTTGGCCTGATTTTGGTACATTTTATAGTTTGCTGGCATAGTGCTGGCTTCTAGGCTTTTCTGGTGCTCTTTGTCCTATCATTAATTCACAAGGCTTTCATAGCACAGTATTTTATTGTATGCTGATACGCGATTGTAAGTAAACTGCTTTAGGAAGACTTATCTTGAAACGCAGAGTATCAATGTATTAAATATTTTTTAAAAAATGTAGAGTAAAAGCAGAGCAACAGGGAGCCACTGTGAAAGGAGGAAGGGAAACAGGCTACAGTTTCAAAGCCCAGTGGTGGAAAGATGGGATTGGGTCAAGGCCAGCAGAGAAGATCAGCAAGAAGAAGCAGGCATAGTAAGAAGTAACTAGAGCACGAGAAAAAAGATTCGTAGTGCAAATCTACACGTGCCTCCCCAAAACTCAGCCCCACTGAATTTGAATGTGGCTTTCTTCCAGGGAAATGTGCATGGCATTGCAGCCCTAGAGAAGCGGAGGCTGGGATATGTTAAAAAGGAATAAAGGTTTGGCCAATACATGGACTTTGAAAGTGGTGCCTCAGTGCTCAAGTCCACAGCCCAGGCCCCCACTGAATGACCACGTAGAGAGTGGCAGACAATGGGGGCAGCAGCAAACAGTCACCATGTCACCCTCTTGGCCAGCAAGTGGGACTGATGCTGGTCGCAGCAACATCCTTTTGCTCCTATTTGCAAAATCATTTAGATATATACACTGTGACAGATACCCATTTTATTTTTTTTACTCATATATATATTCCTTTACTGGTGCTTATCCCCAAGTCTGTGTTTAGGTTCAAGGCATCAAAAGCAAACTCCATTTTATACATGTAGTCAGGGGGGTGCTGTGATTTTACTGAGTTTAACGCGTGAAACTGAACATGCTCAGAGAATTTCTTCTTGTTGTTGTTCTGGTCAGGATTGGCAAATGTTTTGAGGTTTGGGTTTTTTCTCTCTAACATATCGGGAACATTGAAAGAGTTTTAAAGCATGGAAGAGGAAGGAGACACATAGAGAAGATAAATGTTAAATATTTCTTCCTACTTGAAGGAATGCCCAGGGTCTAAAATTGCCTAGATGTACTTAACTCCCTGCAGGAAACACATAATGTGTGAACATGTGCGTGTGCGTACATCACTTAAACTCCAGCAGTGCACACATAAGGAAAACTAAGATAAAATAGACGTATGTGCACTGGTGTTTAAAAATGTGTAATGTATATATTTAGTGTGAGAAATATCCAGGTGCAACTTCAGCCTATGACTATGCTACACAAATTACTTAACTTCCACGGAATGTATCCCAGTCTCTGATTTTGACATTAAACCTTTGAACCAAGAAGAGCAGGGGAGCGTGCTGCCCTGCTGAATCAGGCCAAGGGTCTGATCCAAGGTATACTGCCTCTCCAAATGGAGGTTCCATTTATCATAGCTGTGGACAGGCATATACCCTTCCATGAATGCAGATGGGTTCCATGCCCATTCCTCTCTATAATCTGCCTTATGCTACCACCCGCCCAGCGAACGAACAACATCACTCCTTTGTCTCTTCAGTTATCATTCAGGGAGGGAATTTTTTCCATTCCTCTCCTTTCCTTTGATACCGTCCCTGTTCTTTTCAAGATAGCCTCTCGTAGCTGGAGAGGGTTATTAATAGCATCAAATCAGTATGGAACTGGTTTAGCCACTTGACACTTTGACCTTGGGAGGATGCCTAGAAATCTCTCTCTCTCTCTCTCTCTCTCTCTCTCTCTCTCTCTCACACACACACACACACACACACACACACACGGCTGGTGGCCATTGGAACTGGTAGGCTGTGACACCAAGAAGAAGTGGAGGCAGAGCCAATGACAGGCAGAGCCCCTTCTCTTCCCTGCTGAGTTCCACAAGGGCAACACAGAAATGGAAGAGGAAGCCAACAAGCTAGTGTGTTCCCCTGGACTGGTTGTAGGGAAGATGGCAGGCAGGGAGTTGAAAGAAACAGAAAGTTGGCCCCACAGAAAGAGTGTGATTCTATGGGCTGGCCCACTTACCATGTTAGGAAAACGTTAGCATCTAACCCAAACGGCAAGAAGCTTTGCACTCGGGACGAATCCTCAATCAACAGATGGCACTGTGTGCCTGTTCTGGAAGGCATTTCCGGGTATGGGGGGCAACGAGGTTGAAAACAAGCTAGCATTTCTGTTCCTCCAGAATTGGCTTCCTTCCACTCGTTTTGTGCACATGCACAAAATGGAATACTCCATCAGGAGTGCAGTGAAAGTATAGTTTGGCAGGGGGAGGAGGGGGCAATCTAGCCTTTTAAACTCACTAACTACCTGAGGGTATGAGAGGTTGTTTAAAAGGGTAACTGATTCACAGCTAAATAGTCTTTTTTCCCAAATTTTTTTTTATTAGTTTTCCAAATTTATAACAAACATATCCACAAACATAAAAAGAAGACATCAAAAAAAGACAAGCAAACAAACAAACATATATCCTGACTGTAGAAATTCCACTTTTGTTATCATTAAGTGACTTCCTCAAATCCCCCTGGCAGAGTTTCCATATAAATAATTGTAGCAGTTTTCCAGAACTGAGTTCACATAAAATTTACCTAGTTCATTAACATCTTTCTTTCTTTCATTTTAACTTTTATCCATAGTATTCTACGACATCACATATTTAAATCCTAGGCCAATCTGATACTCGCAAGTAATTCTATTTAAGTTATCTTAACATGTTTAACTAAATAGTCTTTGAATTTCTTCCACAACTATGAACCAAAAGCCTCCAGATATCTCAAAGTCTACAAACCACATTAAACCCAAGCATATATAACTGACTCTTGCAGGCATCACAGGTTGTGTGTTTGCGTTTGCAAAAGCTGTGGTTAAAGCAAATCATTAACTGCTGGCTTTTTCTTTCTCTTGCAGATTGAATTCAACTCTGAACAGATTGAAGGTAAGCACTGGGGTGGGGTGGGGGTTTAAATCCATATAGTCACTCTATATGTTTGGGGAGGCAGGACAACCCCACCCCCACCCCCCAATAATCTCTACATTCAGTGAAGAATTTGAGTAAACTCGTAAATTCATGAATTTAGCAAAGGTTGGAAAGAATACTGGTTAGCTTTCTTAGGAGGCAGCAGACCTGCTGGCTGGCTACAGCAAGCTGTCACAGAGAGACAGGAGGATGGTGTTTAGGATGCCACAGAATCCAATGCTGCTTCTGCAGAGGACAAGACCCTCTGGAGATGTAAATGCTGTGAACTTTCCCTCCATAAAACTCTGGTGTAAATATGTGTAAATAAACCATATTTCTTAAAGACACTACAGTCTCTGTTGTGTAGGGTTGCCATGTTTCAAAAAGTGAAGGTCCAGATACATCTAAAAAAAACACCCAGAAGTTTTAGAGCTTTAAAAATAAATAAATAAATATTTATTTCATTTTTCAAATTCAAGTTTTACAATCACATATCCAACATACAGAAAACAAGATTCCAGAAAATCTCCTGGACTTCCCTCCTCCCCTTTGTGGGTCCTATTGTTAGTCATTTCCTCCTGCATCTTTTATAATAATCCAAATCTTTTACATCTCTATTATATCCAAAATTCATCATTAAACTACAAGTTTCTGAGCTATTTTTAAGGGCATTCAGCAAAATCTAGACTTCCGACATGGGTTGCTATGTGTCTGGATTTCCCTGGACATTTCCACCCAGACACTAACAACTACAGTATTCCGGCTATGTCCAGGAAATTCCAGGCATATGGCAACCCTACTGCTGTGCCTCATTCCAAACGAACACAAATCCTGGTTAACTGCCAAGACCCCTGGAATCTTGCTACCATTTGGCAGAGATTGGGATGGCTTATAACAACAATAAGCTGTACAGTGGTACCTTGAGTTACAAACGCTTCAGGTTACAAACTCCGCTAACCTGGAAGAGTTACCTTGAGTTGAGAACTTTGCCCCAGGATAAGAACGGAAATCGTGTGTCTGTGGCACAGCGGCAGCAAGAGGCCCCATTAGCGAAAGTTCGTAACTAGAGATAGCACTGTAGTGCCTACATATACTGTAGTCTCTGTGGCTGCATGCCTTCCAAACTTCCCTCTCTCTCTCTGCCTTAAGCTTGGTGCTACTTTGCCAAATGCCACACGGTGGGGGAACAGACAGGTTATTACGCCTGTATGCATTAGGCCCCAGCATGCCTTTGGCTTAGCGAGTATGAATGGTATTTAACTTTTCGTGCTACCACAAGGATTAGTACTAGCACAAAGGGATTTCTCCCCCTCTATTCCCCCTGAACATGCCTCATGCCATCCCAAAATCTTCTCCAGAGCATTGGGGTGGGGGAACCCAGAACACATTTAGGGGATATGTGGCTGGAGGGGGGGGAGAACATTCCGGAACAGAACATTCACCTTGGCACTATGTTGAATACAACCCTTTGTATCTGTGTGAGACAACCTGTCTGTTAAGACAAGGAAACCTGCGTCTTCCAGGTATTTCTGGTGTCTAATTCCTGTCATCCCAGGCTATTGACCATGCTGGCTGGGGCTGCTAAGAGCTCAAGGGCTACAAATTTCCCTCCCTGCTTTACAGGCTTCAGAATCTGATTTCACTTTTTAATATATATGCTTTTCAGGTTTATACGTTTCACTAATTTTACAATCATTTTAACATTTCAAAACTTGACTTCCTTCCCCCATTCTGTGGTTCCTTAAATTTATTTTTAATATCTTCTGCATATCCAAATTAACTTAATTAGCTAATTTATTCATCTACTTATATATATACTCTTATAAAACTGCAGGTTATTACAATAATCCTGCCAATGCTCTTACCTGTTTACAATTTATCTGCAAATATTCAATAAACTATTTTCATTCTTTTATAAAAAGTTTGTCATCTTGTTTTCTTAATTCTTCTGGTAATTTCTGCCATTTCTGCATATTCCATGAGTTTTAGTATCCATTCTTCCTTTGCTGGGACGACGACTTCTTTCCATTTTTGGGCGAGTAATATTCTTGCCACTGTAGTAACATACATGAATAAGTTTCTATACAATTTAAGTAGTTCTGTCCCTATAATTCCCAAAAGAAAAAGCTGCTGTGTTGTTGTTGTTTACAAACATTATTTTAAACATCCTTTTCAATTCATTATACATCATTTCCCAGTAAGCTTTAACCTTACTACAAGACCACCAAATATGATAAAAAGAACCTTCTTTCTCTTTACATTTCCAACACTTATTTGATTTAGATTTATACATTTTTGGTGTTAGATACCATCGATTATATCTATATCGAGAATCTGATTTCACTCTCGCCACCATCCTTATATCTTGATCAACAGTGGTGGCCATAGAGCATGTTGGGGAAAGCAGTGAAGCTGTAGAGAAGACCTTGAGAATTTACACAGCAGTGGCCTGGGGCTGATGGGAGTCCAACAGTGTCTATAGGTTCCCCATCCTTCTGTTAAGATCCATAGGAACTGTCATGTTGAAAGTTCCCTTTTTTTCGAGAAGGCAGAAAGACGCAGCAGCAGGACCCATGCACACCTAAAGTTCAGCACAGCATGAAGCCCTAGGTTCAGGAAGGGTCATTGTGATGTCACAGGAGACCTCCTCATATGTGCCAGCCATCGCACTGCTGCACCTGGCATTAAAATGCAGAATAACAAGCTAACTCCACCGGTGAATAGGCCTGAAGATTACCATAGGTTTCAAAATGATGCCTCTTGGGCCTCTGTGTCTCCAGCGTTGCACACTGGTGCTGAGCCCTTGACCTCCTTCAACAATGGAGACACCTCCATGAAAGAGGTGTTGCTGGAGATCAAGAAAACGATGGAGCAAACCATAGAGGCAGTGAAGGCCTTTGATAGTAAGATCTTAGCTTTGAATTCACGTATGGACACCCTGGAAGGGCTGATCCAAAGCCTGGTCCGGTCAGCCACGGCAACGAGCTTCACAATTAAAAACGAGCAAGCAAAGGTACAGGACTGCCACCAGAACATTGGGTGCCTGGTTGGCGAGAACAGACGCCTCAGCGACCGGGTGCAGAAGATCGAGGACCAAGTGCAGCCCCATATCCTCAGGATCTGTGGCTTGCCAGAGGAAGAAGAGGGCCAGGACCTGGTAGCCTTCCTGGAGGAGTGGTTGCCGGGTATCCTGAAGTTAGACACCAGAGATGACCCCATTGTGGTGGAAAGAGCCTATAGGGTTTCCGCCAAACAGCAGAAGGCGGCAAAAGCAGATCTGTGCAGGGCTATTGTCGCTCGGCTAGCGGAATTAAGGGACAAAGAGAGGATCTTGCAGCAAGTTGAGAAGCTGAAACCCATCACGTATAAAAACAAACCAATCTTTATTTTTCAAGATACACCCCTCCTGAAAGGTAAATAGAAGGTCACTTGGGTTGTAACCTTGGGCCAAAACCTAATGCTAATTTAGGCAAAACAACACCTTTTAAATAAGTTTGCTCAAACTCTCCGCTCTTATTTAAGGCATTTACATTAGCATTTCTTAGCAGTGTACATAAAAACGTTGAAGACACAACTCCTGTGGCAAATTAGTTTCTGCAGGAAAAAACTCCCTCTACGGCCTTTACTACTACTGCCTGTTGATGAGGATACAGATTACTGCAAGCTGCTCCTTCTGGGGCAAATAGCAGCCAGGGAGCGAGCAATTCTCAGCAGTGAACCTGGCAGGGGGATCCAGGTTGGGGGTGCACAGCTGCTGTCTGTTCAAAATAGTGAAGAGGTTCAGCAATTATTATTTTTTTAAGCATCACTAGCAGGTCATTTGGTTCTAACTGCTGTTGAAAACCAGGGATGCTATGGCCTGTCCAGGGCTGTGCCAGGGAAGGTAGTTGGTGACTGTGAATATTTGTAAAGGTGATTTAAAATGGTTTGAGAAAAAGCTTCACTTTCTGAGGGGTGCACCCAATATTTATATTGCCCAGTGAGCTCAGAGTTGAGAGAGAACTGTATAGGCTCCCCTTGTGATTCAGAACCTTGCATGACCAAGGGTTCTAGACCACATGGGAAGCTTATACGGGTTGAGCAAACTCTCCTCTTCAGACCTTCTATCAGTGATGTGTGTGGACTGTGGCGCAGAAGGGCCACAGCGATATGAGAGGGGGATGAGGCTCATGAGTGCAACTCTGGGCTTGCCCTCATGCGATGGAGGCATACCTCTTGAATAGGACTGCTGCGGTACAGTATATTCTTTCTTTTGTGGAGCTGGAAAAATAGACCTAACTCCAGAATGGCTCTTAAAAAAACAACAAAAAACCCTTCCCCAGTCACCGTTAAGAGTATGTAAAAAAATAATTCTCACTCAGACACTTCATGTTTAAAAGTAATTCTTCTTCTGCTCCTCAGACCTAGGGTGTAATCTCTAGGGCATCATGGGTATATTTTCCTAACGTTGTGCAAAGAACCAAGTTGGTCCCTTCTTTTGCGCAGAGTTCAAAGAGGCCTTCATGCTGTTCGACAGGACCCCAACGGGAGAGATGAAGATCACATACAGCCAGTGTGGCGATGTCATGCGAGCCCTGGGACAGAACCCAACCAACGCAGAGGTCTTAAAGGTGCTGGGGAAACCAACACCCGAAGGCAAGTTTACAAAATAGGATGGATCGGGCCCTTTTCAGCTTCCAAAGGTTCCTTAAAATTACAGCTTAAAATTACACATATGGGGTTCAGTCGTGGTTTTAATAGTCTGTTGGGAGCTGCCCGGATGGGCGGCTAATAATAATAATAATAATAATAATAATACAAGCAATGCTCAAGCGCTGTTTCTCTTGGCCTGGGTTAAACTTGAAACGTGCGCTTCTCCCAAATCAGATCCTGATTAGCATTCCTGATTTGTAAGGAGCACGTCCTTGAACCCACAGTTCAGATATTTCAAGGAACTGTAGTTTAAGCAACTAGGGAGGCAGCCAAGTTTATGAAAGGAAGATGGAGGGAGCAGGAGAAGGGTGCACTCAGTGGCTTAGCGTGGGTTGTCAGCACCCGGGGCAAGGCGCCCCCTAACCCGTGGATTTGCGCCCCCTAACCCGTGGATTTGCGCCCCCTAACCCGTGGATTTGCCCTAACCCCAGATGTTGCGCCCGGTGCGGCCGGCCCCCCCTGCACCCCCCACGCTACGCCACTGGGTGCACTCAAACTCATCCCTCAGTTGTGTGCTGTGGTTTGTTGCAAATGACCTATTATGAAGGCCGTGCCCACCATCTTTCATCTCTGTGTTCTTCCTCATCAGAATTGGGCGCGAAGATGCTGGATTTTGAAACCTTCCTCCCAATGCTGCAGCACATTGCCCGATCCAAGGACCAGGGGACTTATGAGGACTTTGTGGAAGGGCTGCGCGTCTTCGACAAGGAAGGGAATGGCACCGTCATGGGGGCTGAACTGCGCCACGTCCTTGCTACTTTAGGTAGAGGAAGTCATAAAATTTGTAGCATGGTGGTGGAAGGAGAGCATTGTGCAACAAGTATTCTGCTTTAGCAGGCCTCAGCCTTCCCAGATAATTAACATGTGGTCCACCTATCTTAGGGAATAACGTCTCCCAAATCACACACACACTTACTTTAGGCATAGCTGTCAACCTTCCCTTTTTTTGCACGAAATTTCCTTATTCCAGCACCGTTTCCCACTGCTTCCTGCTGCTATCCCGGATTGTTAGATATCCCATAGACTGTCCCCAGGACAGGTGTGGCTGCTGATCCCTTATTTTCAAATCTGAAAGTTGACAGCTATGACTTTAGGGAGAGTAAGAGGGCAAACACACCATTCAATGAAGCACATTGGTGCCTACCCATTCCCCCAAAATCCTGGGAACTGTAGTTTACCTCTCAGAGTTGCCGTCATGGCCATTGGCCACGATTGCTGGGGCTAATGAGAGTTTTAGTTCAGCAACATCCTGAGGGCCCAAGATTCCCCACCCCTGACTTATGCCGTCAGCATCCTGTACACCATCTCTGTCTACCTTTAAAGCGTGGGAGAGGAACTAGATCAATGTTGTTTTCCAAACTTGGGTCTTCAGCTGTTTCTGGACTACAACTCCCATCATCCTTAGCTAGCAGGATTAGTGGTCAGGGATGATGGGAAATGTAGATCAAAGCCATGCCTGGCCATTATTGGGTCATGGTGGCAGGGGCTGATGGGAACTGGAGTCTGATCACTTCCGGAAGGTCACAAGTTCCCCACTCCTGCTTCAAGGTGGAAAGCAAGGGGTGGGGGAACATTTCTCACAAGCATTCCTCCCATCACTGATACTGGGTGAATGCAATTCACATGTCGACACGAGTTCTGCGGTGCCAGCAGTGCAAAAGGCACATTCTATTGCGCTCAATAGACAGCAGAAGAAGAAGAAGAGTTTGGACTTGATATCCCACCTTTCACTCCCCTTAAGGAGTCTCAAAGCAGCTAACAATCTCCTTTCCCTTTCTCCCCCACAACAAATACTCTGTAAGGTGAGTGGGGCTGAGAGACTTCAGAGAAGTGTGACTGGCCCAAGGTCACCCAGCAGCTGCATGTGGAGGAGCGGGAAAGCAAACCCAGTTCACCAGATTATGAGTCCACCGCTCTTCACCACTACACCACACTGGCTCTCACTGGCAATGGGTAATGTGGGATTGCTGCATCAATCCCTATACACAGCTGGCTGGTGTACTAGGCACTGTACCCATGGGAGCATGGCAGGAACATGAGGTGCTGATTTATACTGAATCAGACCTATTGGTCCATCTAGCTCAGTACTGTTTATACAGAGCCATAGCTACAGGGACGCTATCCGGGGGTTTTGCCCTGGGGGAAGCCTCCAGAGGGGAGCAGTTGAGGCTCCAAGCCTGTGGGTGGGTGTACAGAAATGTGGGTGGGTGTGCCAAACCAGGTCTTTGACCCTGCTGAAATAAAGGCTAGTACCACCCCTGGTTTAAAGACCTTCTTGATGTTGTTGAACTACATCACCCAGGGCCATTGGCTGTGCTTGCTGGGGCTGATGGAAGTTGGTAGTTCAGCAAACGTCTGGAGGGCCAAAGGTCCCCCACCCCTGGTTTACACTGATTCTATCGCAGATCTAACTGCAGATGTCAGGATTGTACCTGGGATCTTCTGCACACAGGGAATATGCTTTGTCACTGTGCTATAGCTGTTTCCCCTAATATTCAGAAGCCTCTGCTCCTCCTAAATATCCCTGGGTCATGATGCAAATATGCAGAATGCTTGATGCAGCTTAGTCTATTCGAAGAACAATTTTTTGCGGGGGAAACAAAACTTGATGTTTGATTTCCGCTCCTAGGGGAGAAGATGACGGAGGCTGAAGTAGAACAGCTAATGGCAGGGCAAGAAGATGCCAATGGCTGCATCAACTACGAAGGTAGGACAAACCCACATTTTCTTTTGAAAAACAAAACAAAACTTCCACTTATCGGGAAACTCTGGATCTCTCCACACTTTTCTTTCGCTTCTGGGACTCCTGCTACTGCTGTATGATGTGCACTTGACCAGTAGTCGCTGAGCAATACGTTACTACTGATGCTTTGCATCGGATGCTTAACTTGATTGACTTGCACAGATAATCTGAAATAGAGGTGGAAACTGGACTGACTGCAAAATTCAGTTTGGCACTTCAGCAAACAGCCTGATTCAGTTCAGACAGATTTGGGAACTGTTCAGTTTGGGTTTAGATCTGAATTCTAGTTCAGAAAAATCCAAGGTTTGGTATTATGGGGATTTTGATTTATTTTTAAGCCATAAATATTTTATTTCCCCCAGAATTGGATGGCATTTTTAGGCACTGACGCCTAAAAGTGCATAAAACCTGCCAATTCCAAACAAATAGTTTTGTGGGGTTTGTGCTGAACACCTTTAAATTTGTGGTGGTGGTGGTTGTTAAAAAGGGGAACAACTTTTTTTAACATATGGCTCAATTGGGTGCAGTTGTGGCCTGAGACATTTTGCCACTGTAGACAAAACAACCCCCTGATGCCCCTTTTCCCATGATGATGCCTCCCCCTGCAGATCAGGTCCCCCATCCTCCACCTGCCTGCCCCTGCTGTTGCACCTGCGCTGCCGTCGCTGCTGCCACCCCTGCCCCTGCAATTGCCCCCTCACCTGTGGCTGTGCACCGCATTGCTTCTGTGCGGCAGTGGTGAGGCAATAGTGGCAGCAAGGAGCTGAGAGTCAGCTATCACTGAAGACAGGAGGACTCACTTTTGCGTGAACATGCATAAGGTTCTGATTTTATGAAAATTAACAACTCTTTTTTTGTGTGTTCTCAGCTTTTGTCAAGCACATCATGTCTGGTTGAAGATGGAATCCTTAAAGTGAGTCCCTTTTCGACTTTCCTTGTTTGAAACATCCCAGATACCTGTGTGTGTTGCAACTAGGGATGTTGGAGAATTCCTACAAAAATGGAAAAGTTAGCAGAAACTGTTGCAGTCTGTAGTCAACAAAAGGCAACCAACCATGCCCTGGGCTCCTTCCCCCCACTGCCAATGAAGACTAATAAATGAATAGAAAAAGATCCTACCCAAGTGACACTGACACAAAAACCTCACACATACACTAAGTAAACGGATGTTAAGTTTACCACACACCTTCTCCTCCATCTCTCTCTCCCCACATCTCTTCTCCCCCAGCTTTATACAGCATTAACGTCCCAGATTGCATGTAACGGATACGTAGAAGACTCTACAACCTGAAAATAAGACACAATGAACATACTTTTGTAACCCAATAAAATCTCCAATAAAAACTATTTTAAAAAAGAAAGAAATGGAAATCAGTCAAGTAAATACCATTGATCCTCATTCATATTATCATTGTTGCCTTTTTCAAATCTGCAAACGATGCACAATTAAGGACACTCTTTCTTTTTTTGTTACGTCATTCCATTTATATCGAAACAACTGTAAGTTGTGTGAGGGCTCATCCAGACTTCCTTTTGTGCCACATCTATAGGCACAGGTCCGTGCTTTAAAGCTCCATGTCTGAGCACCTTCGCCATGGCACTTTCCCCATGAAAATCTGCTCTTTACTGCTGAAAAAATTATTCAGAAAACCCGAATTGCTATTTGTTTCGATTCAGCTTTAAAGAGCAGGTTTTCCTGGGGAAAGTGGTGGGGCCAAAAACAAATAAAACCCCAGACCAGGAAAGTGCAAACCTCTGTCTAGAAAGTGCAGGGGGCAGGGAGTTTAACTGCGGATGAGCCCTAACTTATTTAAATACTGTAGTTACATATTCCTCCCCCTGCCTACTGTTTAACTTATGTAACAGTATTCGGCAGAAACTGAACTGCAGAAGAATGGTAACAGCGCTGTTTGTGATGAATGCAGGTCGGAATGAAAAGCGCTATCATCTTACATCCCTAACTGCAACCATTGTGTCCAACTATCAACAATGGAAAAAACCAAGGTGCTTTCTGTGCTGAATATGTGAAAAGTGTAATGTAGATTTTAGGCACTGTTGGTGGCTCCCCTATAAATATTAGTTAGAACATGGCCCAGGGCACAACAATTCATAAATTAAGCTCACATGTGAAGTTTTATTACTTTTGTTAAGTTATTTGGAAAGATTACTAGCTGAGGGAGGCACTGAGTTAATGCAAAACATTTTATTGTGGATGCTGCATGATATCTAAATGAAGCCACAAGGAACTTTGGAGTACAGTGTCATCAATATGTTGAGAACATCCAGCTCTGTATTTCTTTAATTAAGCAACTGGGAGCTGCTATCTCAGTTCTAAATAAATGGCTGGAGGTCTGAGAAGAGTGGGTGAAATTAAACAAGCTGAAACTGGAATCCAAACAAAATTAAGATAACTGTAAAATAAAGATACTGTGATAAATACGGTGGAAATTTCCTCCTCTGATCCAGTTACGAGCTCACTCTGCACCTGAATAGAGAGGTGTCGGTGACAGCCACAAGTGCCTTTTATCAACCCCAGCTGGCATTTTTCTTGCCTCCATTTCTGGAGAAGACATCTATTACCATGCTGATCCATGCTTCTGTAATGTCTAGAATCTGTTCCTGTAGGGATAGCAAATGTGGTTTCCATATTGGCTCCCCCTGACTGCGTTAAAATTATTGTCTGCTTTCCTTCCAGGTTCTTGGGAGGAGGGGGGAAAATCCATCCAGCAAGAATTTCTTACCTCATATCCCGCACACCTCTACATTGCCCAGGAGCTGCATTTGCCACAAGGCATGTAAGAGGGACTCTCCATTTCCACAGTGTAACAGCCTCTGTATATAAAGAATGCATGCTCCTGCATCAGTTTTAAACCTTTATTTATTATTTCGGTTGTGTCCATTCTTCTTTCCTTCTGCTACATTTGGTCCATTGAAATTAAAACGTCTGCGCACACAGATACCATTTCCGTTTAACTTCTGCCTAAATTTTATTTCGAACTTCAGTGAGCTCAATACATACTTTTCCCCTAAAAGCCACTCCATCACTTGAAAGATGACCCCTTCTTCCTGAATGTCACCACCACAAAGAACAAAAGAGTGGTCCTATACATGGTCCCATGGTGTCTCCTTATTTGTGGAAACTTTTAACTAGTGTTCACTCTGTCCTGGTATAACAGGAACAGCAGTGATTAAGACTGCAATCTTCTACCCGATTACACAGGAGGAAACCTCTGTGGGTGCTTCCAGATGACCTGTTCATTGAACATTCATGCTGATCTTATTGCAGGGACATTTGACAAAACTTGCTTTTCAATGAGCATTAATTCTGATTTGCTTGCAGGAGAGGTTAGATAACATTACACTTAAACAAATGCTATCTCACACTTCCCAGTGGGTTTTCTATGTCTGGTTCTGTCCTGTCTTTTGGGGAACCTCCCAACCAACTATAACTGCACAACCTGAATTTGACAGTATGTGTTTGAGCCCCACCTGAAAATAATGACACTTGGGGGGGGGCGGGTGGACCAGGTTTAACTGTCAGCACAGGAAGAGAGGAATGCAAGAGCAGGGATAGGTGGCAGCTGCAGATTTCTGAGATCATGCACAGCGACAACAATCTTTGGGTCTGCTGCCTTTTTTTCGCCTGGCATTTTTACTGCACTGTGCACATGATGAGAGATGCATCCCAAAGGACACAGCGCTATTGCTGCACAGGCACAATGTAGCAGAGAAAATTAATACTACTCAGAATTTACCTAGTAAATCAGTAACATCAGCGGGGCATCCATTCTCCATTATTACTACTTTAATATTAGTACATTAATATTACATTACAAATATTGCATCAATATCACTACTGACAGGAGATATCAGTGTTGGTATAATATGAGGGGATTACGTTTCTGTACATGAAAGTGTATTTTTCTGGTGGCAGTATAACATTCACCTGCTACAGATTTTGGGGCCACGGCTGCATCTAGCCATATGTTTACTCCAATTAAAAGTAATTGTGTATAGGGAACCTTTGGTTATTTTTTTTGAAGCACTACGTCTGTGAATTTATTACTTATTTTTACAGCATACGTCTGGACAGCTTTTTTGAAATTTCAATATTTCCCCCACACACAATCAGCACACACAATCAATTTATGTATAATGGTGTTTTAAGAAGAGAATCTGGAGCTTTTTGTTTTTGTAGGGATAAAATACAATGTTGGCTCTTGTTAAATTGGTGCAGACATGCCAATCATCAATAGTCATGACTCCATTATGATAAGGTCTTCCATGGGCATTAGGTCACTTTAGTGGTGACACTACCTTGGCTACTTAAATTGGCCCACTTGACCAGTGCTGGTTCCAGGTTTTGAGGGAAGCCTTGGGTATGGTGCCCTCAATAGGCACACGCTCTGAGGGTCCCGCTCCAAGGCACTGCTGACCACTCACTTGTGCTGCTCCTCTGTGTCCAATCTATATAACCACCCAGAGGGAGAGATGCTTTATCTCCTCACTCTTGTCATTGCTGACATGCTCAGAGGTGAACACAGGCAGCAAGAGCAAAGAGGTTGAGGGCTGGGGATCTCCAAAGAGTGGTGTTGGGCCTCTCCTTGGGTGCCCAACAATGCCTAGGCCCCTCACCTGAATGGCTTTGCAGCTACCGCAAAATTGTACCTCTTGCCTGGCCTGCTAAGGACACAGCTTCTCCCAGAAGGTAGGTGGTCTTAGAAACACACAGTGTGTTTTATAAAAAGCTTTGGTTGACACCAGCTGTTCTCCCTTTCGTCATAACCACCCACCACTGCTGGAGAAGGTCTATATAAATAGAAATTTAATCTAGGTGAATCCTCCCAGGACAATGGCCAGTGCCTGGCTGCTTCCTTTTAAAGTTTTCTTCCCCGGCTCCCAGGGTGGGGTATGGCTCAGGGGGGTTGAAGTGAGGTAAAAATAGCATCCTTGACCAAGGAGAGCTGATGGTGGCAGTCCTGCTGCCTGAGATTAAGAAAGCACGCCATACCAAAGATGGTTTGGATGGTGGCATCATCCATGCAGTCCAGTGAATGGGAAGAGATGAAGAAAGGGGGCGGAGGAGGCTAGCAAGGCCAAGTTTGGTTCCTAGAAGTGCTATCATCCATGTCTGATCCACAATTCAAGTTTAGATAGAAATAGGGAGAGTATGCTGACTGTACAAATCTCCTTGTTCAGCACTCTTTGCCAACACAGATTAAGGGCCCTTCTGGATATCCCTTTTATGATGCTGTCAGGGCAGCCATATGTGACTGCACTTTCAACACTATTTGCACTGCAAAAGTGTTGGGGCAGTCAGTCATACTGCTTCGTTTCCTGCAATTTACAGTGGTACCTCGGGTTAAGTACTTAATTCGTTCCAGAGGTCCGTACTTAACCTGAAGCACCACTTTAGCTAATGGGGCCTCCTGCTGCTGCCGCGCCGCCAGAGCATGATTTCTGTTCTCATCCTGAAGCAAAGTTCTTAACCCGAGATACTATTTCTGGGTTAGCGGAGTCTGTAACCAGAAGCGTAGGTAACTCGAGGTACCACTGTAATTGTGTGTGTGTGTGTGTGTGTGAGAGAGAGAGAGAGAGAGAGAAATCCCATAACTTTTCATTGAGGAAGCAACACAGAACAACTAATATACCCAGCACTAATGCACTATTATTATGTAAAGAACACGTTTCAGAATACACCTGCAATAAGACCATTCTGGAGGGAAACTATTTATTAATATGTACTTTTCCTGATGTTACGTACCGATCAAGATAGCTTTTAAAAAAACACACACACACACACACACACACACACCTCCCAACCTTATATCTATTACTAGATACAAGGGACCCATGTACATATACAGTGGTATCTCGGGTTACATATGCTTCAGATTACATACGCTTCAGGTTACACACCCCACTAAGCCAGAAATAGTGCTTCAGGTTAGGAACTTTGCTTCAGGATAAGAACAGAAATCGGGCTCCGGCGGCGCGGCGGCAGTGGGAGGCCCCATTAGCTAAAGTGGTGCTTCAGGTTAAGAACAGTTTCAGGTTAAGAACGGACCTCCGGAACAAATTAAGTATTTATCCCGAGGTACCACTGTATAGGGCAACTGAAACAGACAGGGATCAAGCCCACTAGCCCAGAAGGAAGAATTGCTGCCCATCCGTTTGCTCCAAGAATAAGCTGCAATTTTGTCCTCTGATTTCACACCGTATTTTGAAACACTGTGCACCTACATATGTAGCGTACTCTGGCTTGATCTGTTTGCAGTTCAGTCCTTTATAAAGTTATTCCTGCAAAAATAAATTTTATTTTAATTTAAAAAAAATTAAAAGATTAAGAGGCTTCAGCAGACATTCCCCATACTTTCATCAGTGTTGGGTTTTTGTTTTTTTGTTTTGTTTACTTTTAAGGAAATCTGGGGAAATATTTCTTTAAGAGATCAAAGGAAATAATTCCCTTAAAAACAAAATCAGTGAGTACACAAATCTCAGACAGCAGCCAGCTTCTCGTCTATTCCGAGTATGAACTTCCCCCACAGTATATTCTTCCCAAATTCTGAGCTGATAATACTTGAGAATAAGTTTCATGATGGAAGTCACCCCTCTCGCCTCAAATCAAGGACTGTTTCGGGCCGCTTCGGCTCTTTCCGTCAACAGCCGAGAGGAAGCGGGGTGAAGTTTTGGATGATTTCCGCCGAGCCGGCCAATTCGACGCCGCGCGTGCTTTCGCTTTCTTTCGGCTCTTTCCGTCAAGAGCCGTGGGAAAGGAAGTTTGCTCTTCGGGCACGTCCGGGAGCCCATTCCGTCACCAGCTCGGGAAGGAGGCGGAGCATCAGACTGGTGTGTTCGGCTCCTTTCCGTCGCCGCTCGGGAAGAAGCGGAGAGAGCTCCAGGCCTTCGGGTCCGCTCGGGCCGTTCTCCGTCGCCGCTCGAGAAAGAGAGGAAGAGGTCCACGCCGTCGGGTGTTTCCGCCTGCCGCTCGGGAAGACTCGGCTCCTGACGGGCCGGGGCCTTCCCTTCCTTTCGCTTCCCTCCTCCACGGCCCGGTTAACGGTCGCTGCCAGTTTAAATGAGACGGGGTCCGGGCCGCCGCCGCCGCCGCGTCACCCACTGAGGCGGAGTCTGTCAGGAGGAAGGAGGAGGAGGGGGAGAGGAGAGGAGAGAGGGGGCGCCCTCTCCCCACCTCCCTCATCCGGGGCCTGTCCCTGAGGGGGGAGCCGGGGCAGGATGACTGTGCTGCAAGAACCCGTCCAGGTAAGGACCCCGGTGGCGATGGGCCTGTATATGGGGGAGCGGGGGAAGGAAGGCAGGCCGGGTGGGAGGGGACGGAAGGGGAGCAGTTGGGTTCCTGCCCGCTCTCCTTTCTGCCCTGACAGGGCAAGGGCCCCCTTTGCAAAACCAAAAAAAATCAAGCAAAGCAAACAAGCAAACAAAAAACCCCTTCCTGCTGGGAGCGGGGGGAGGGGTTTCTCCTTTTAAAATTTCACTCTCCTTAACGTTATCCCCCCCCCCCCCCGGTGAGGGAGCTGAGCATTGGGGATCTGGAAGCTGCCTCCTACCAAGTCAGACCATTGGGTTATACAGTGTTGCCTGTTGGCAGCAGCTCTCCAGGATTTTAGGCCAAGGTATTTCCCAGTCCTGCCTGGAAATGCAGGGGATTGAACCTGGGACCTGGGAACCTGGGACCACCAGCCACCCTCTCTGCATTCCCACCTACCCCAAGAATTACCACTGATTCCGCGCCCCCCCCCCAGCATTCTTAGCTGACTGCTCCTTCCTAAGAGAGATCCCCTCTTCTCAGGCCCTCTTCAGTCTCTCTTCTCCCCGCCCCCCCCCCACTTCATCTTCCCAGTAAGGACCCCTGTTCAATCAGTCTCCCTTTCTCTCATTAGAACATATACTGCAATAAGTCATATGACTATCTTGCGTTTACATGGGACGCCCAGTGGTCTTCCTTCCAGGGA